GACGGGGCGAAGAATGGGAAGTGTGGGGGAGGGGGGGAGGGGGGGTTCTGGGCTTGTGATTAGAAGGTTGCTGGTTCAAGCCCAGGCCTGGCAGGATGTGGGACAAAGGCTGTTACAAGCAGGCTGGAAACCTTGCACTCAAGTTAATGATCAAAACCTGTTCTTTAAGTGATACAAATGATACATGATTTGCATAAACAGATTACAATCATTAACCATCTGTGCTCCTCTTCACCACCAGGTTTCCAACCTGCTTGTGACAGCCATTGTCCCACATCCTGCCAGGGCAGAGCTTGAACCAATAACCTTCTGACTACAGGCATAGAGGCTTAGCCTACTGAGCCACATGCTGCCCCTCAAAAAAACCCTCTTGAAGAACAGATTTAGGTCATTAGCTGTCTGTGTTGGTCTTGACCACAGTTGCCAGCAGCAGGCTAAGTCTCTGTGCCTGTAGGCAGAAGGTTGCTGGCTGAAGCTCAGCTTCAACAGAATGGTCACGTATCTGTGGGCCCTTGAGCAAGGCCCCAAACCCCCAGCTCCATGGGTGCCACTGCCCTTCACTGCCAAGCTTGCTCTCATCTACATGTGTGAGCAAGATGGGGTAGATGAAAAGAGAACTTCCCCACAGGGATCACTAAACTGTCACTGTTTTACTCTTATGTGCCAATAGGGCCCTCCTTCAACACTGTCAGGCTCAATGTGCTGGCTGGGGGGGGGGGGTGTCTCAGACCACCCACTGCCGCCCTACTGGTTCACACTTCCCTGCGACTTCCCACTAAGGACACCACAAGTAAGGTATCCACCCCAAACCTCTTAGGCTACTCTGACCAGCTGAGCTCCACATAGCCTAACTGCTAGGCCTGGTGGAATCACCCCTGTTGCAAAGGACACTTGCCCTTAAACACTTTACACATAATGAAGATCTTTGAGAGGCTCGTCCTGAAACAGCTACAAGCCACCAAGACCCCCTGCAGTTTGCTTACCAGGCAGGTACAGATGGTCATTCTTCATCTAAAGCAGGGGTCACCAACCATTTTGAAACTGAGCTACTTCACGCATACTGAGCCATACGAAGGGCTGCCAGTTTGATACACTCTTCTTAAATCATGTATAATAAACATGTTTAAATGCTTTTTTTAATGTCATTTTCAGTATATAGTATATTCTAAATTTATAATATAATTTATAAATGCAAATGTGATTAAAGAAGAATAGCAAGAGGATAAAATTAAATTTTAGATGCTGCTCAATGGTGAGTTGTGCTATTTTTAGAACAGATCTGTGGGGGACTCATGTGGTCCTTGGGGGCATCCTGGTGCCCGCGGGCACCATGTTGGTGACCCCTGATCTAAAGGTATTTCTGAAATGGACCTGTACATGTTTTTTTCTGGCTGAAATGTATCAAGTTTGGTAGAAATCTTCTGAAAAAACCTCTGAAGTAATGGGGTGACTAATGAGTCATTATCTCGACATTTTAAGCTTCTTATAGTAGAGCTGATCCCCCAAGAGTTTTGCAAGGTTAATTTATATTAGAAATTAACACCATAATACCATTATGTAAACGTTTTTTGTCACCAAAATTTAGATAGATTTCCTGCCAGGTCACGACTGCACACTTGGTAGATGAAACAATTCAAGTATGACAAGCAGTGAAAAACATAGAACAGGGATAGCTAGAACATAAGCTAGGACATAGTTCTGTCACGATCCGCTTCCAGAACTGTCTTGACGCAGGCAGTCTGTCATTCGTGGCATTTGTGGAGGTCCAGTCAAACTAAAACCACCTGCACACATAGAACTACGAACAGGATTCTGTTTTAGGATAACATGTTAGTCGTCACTTCAGCTAATTCCGTAAATACTTTAAATAATTGGTCAAACGAATCATGTGCAGTAGCAAAACCTAAGCAGTTTTTCTGGGAAAGATATCAAACTGTATTTACATAAGAGTGAAATCTTATGACAAACATTCTTTAAAAAAAAAAAAAAATCAGAATCAAGGGTGTAATCACGCTGCCTGGCTGTGGCAGGCCTGTTGACATGTGGGTCGTCTCTGACAAAGGTTAACGAGAAGCGGGCAGATGGCTTCCGTTCTGGCGCAGAGTCTCTGACAGCGTCCACAGTGGCCGGCTTTACAGATCGCCCCCCTACTTTCTCTTCTTCTTCTCCGGTTTAGCGCCAGGAGGCTGCGCCTTGACCTTCTTGGTAGGAGCCGGGGCCGGCGCCACAGCGACCTCCTCCAGCTTCCTCTTCTTGTTTTTCTTCTTGTTTTTCTTGCCCCCCTGCTGGCCCGCTCCTGGCGCCCCCACCTCCGGTGCCCTTGGCTCTGGCGCCTTCCCTTCCTGGGTCCCTGGCTTCTTGCGGTTCTTCCTCTTCTTGGAGTCGGGCAGGGAGCCCTTATTCTTCTTGGGGACACTCTGCTGCTCCGGGGCACCGCTGTCCTCGGCGTCTTCCGCCTTCTTCCTCTTCTTCTTCTTCTCAACCTTGGGTTTGCTATTGACAAAGAGAAGCGGTGTTTGGTTGGAGCAGTTGTCGTTAAAATTGGGTTCATTATGCATTAATGTGAATGCAGATTACAGCGCAAGGACAACATATCACCCTCCAGCTTGAACCTTTTCATAATAATAAACGAGAAAAATACGCACAGGATGGCCAACTTCAGTCAGCTGGCTGGAATGAAATTTTCAATTTGAGAGAAGTCTTGCACATGCATTCACATGTATGTAAGAGTTTTATGACCTTGTAAATAGTCCGTAGGGTTTGCAAACTACCCCAACACTTTTTATGTAGCTAATTTTAGATTTGTAATGGAATAATAAAGATTTGCCATAAGATTTCCTGCGTGAGAGTCTGCAACCCAGCAGACAAGCATGGTGGCGCAGTGATCAGCTTTGGACTCACACCTCCACAGTTGTGGATGCAAATGTGACCCCCGCTCTGATGGTGAGGAGTTGTTTTTTTTTTTATTAATGTTCTCTGCATGCCACACAGCATTCCTCCAGGGACTCCAGTGAAAGATGCAATTAGGCTTATTGGAGACTATAAATTGGCCATAGTGGGGGTGTGTGTATATAACTGGCACGCTATCCAAGGTACATTCTGTAGTGATGACTAAATGAAGCTTCATGAACCATTTTTAAACCCACTATATTGCGCTCTTGGTATGCAGTATCTGCTGCTTTTGCCCACTGTCTTTCCATCTAAAGAACACAAGACAAAGGTGGAATGTCTCATAAGAAATGTATCACAAAGCAGGTAACTTACAGGACCCCGAAAAGCTTCAGGACGCTCCAGTAGGTGTCCTCAAGTTGCCCTGTCTTGCGGAAGCCCTCGAACTTGTTCATGGGGAGCAGGACCTTCTTAAGTGGCTCCAGGTTCACATTCAGTTTCTGCAGGATACACAAGCAGGTTTGACATTTCAGAATTTTTCATTAAGGCTTCTTTAAGTGGTGACACTAGGTAAGAGTGTCCAAGAGAGCTTCTGTACCTTTTGCTGAATATTTCTGACAAGGAAACGACTGAGCTCCAGAGCTTTCTGAACCTTCTCTTGGACCGCCTTCATCTGGAAGCCTTTAGTGGCCCTTAGACTCTGGGGAAGGGGGAATTGAATCATGAGGAACCAGCCAAAACTGGTTAGAAGATGAGGAGAAGCCAAACAGGACCATGGACAGAATAGCTGAGCTTTAATATGGTGAAAGTTCCCTTTCAAGCCATGGCCAGTTAGACTCGGATTCTTTGATGTGTGAGCGGTCCTGGTTCGGTGCCCACCTCCACAACTCGGTCCAGCATCCTCTCGCACACCTCTGACCACCGGCTGTCGGCCAACAGCTGCTGCACCTCGCGAGTTTGCAGACCCCGCAGCACCATGTTGCAGGCCTCACCCTGGAGGACACAAACAAGACCCTGGTGTGGATCACAGGTAGCGCAGAAGCTCAAGAGAAACGTGGCTGGCAGATGCAGGGGCTCCGTAGGTACGGTCTACACTGAAGAGGTGCAGCCCTAACAGAATTTTGTGTAAATATTTGCATATTTTCCCCAGGTAACTCTGGTTTCCATCAAGACCAGCTTAGTGTCTTATTGGCTGTCCAAATTCTGCGGTTGCGTCCTTCAGAAGACATGGTCTGTAGCCTTCGTAGGCTGCATCCTTTGAAGGTTCTCTAAAAATCCACGCAATGAATCGTTGGCCTGCCAAGGATCCACTCTGCAAAAGAAGGACGTATTCCTAGCCTGCATTTGAAGGACCCTATGGAAAGGAACAGCCTAGTTGCGTCGCTGTCGCTTAGAAGGATGCAGCCCCTGAATTCAACATAGCCATGGTGCGAGTAAATGTACACACAAGGACCCAGCAATCACTAATGGCAGCTCTAACTGGATGGGCTGATAAACTCCAGGTAGATGCAGACCTCAGTATACAAGGGTGCCTAAGAGTGCACACCGTCCTCAAATTAATAAGGCGCAGGTGGGAGTCAATCAGTCCGTGACTGCCAAGTGCTTGCAGGGATTGTGTCCCCTTGCCAATTTCAGATGCACCCTTAGTGATTTTGCTCTGGACACGGTCCTGCATGGATGGATGAAGCTCTCCAAACACAGCAGAACACCCCACACCAGTGGAATGTGGACAGGTGTTGGCCCAGCATGACACAGCCTTGGCCTGATTACATAATTAAGCGCGCAGTGCGACCTAATATAGATGAGCAGTCATGTACATCCCTCAGGCCCCAGACACCAACTAGTGAGTAATGACTGTCACAAAAGGAGAACAATGGGTCACCTAAACACAGACTTGGGCTTTTATTAAAGTGACACTGTCCAGAATGAATGCTCTCAGTGAAACTGTGACAAAACCTCACAGCAAAGGTTTACCTGCTGGTGATACCTCACACCCTCTGCGATGTACTCCACTGCGGTGTCCAGGAGACGGACGCACAACACCTGTGAAGGGTTAGAGTCAAGCTATTTAGTAGTGATGGCAAAAATGACACTTTATGAATATTTGCCGTTTTTTTCTTCGAAAAAAGGGCTGAAAGCCCCAAAGCAAGCCAAGAGCACCATCTAGTGGGACCAAAAAATACTGCAAATGGTTCATGAGGCATCATTTTGCCTATCACTACTATTTAGCCAAATACAACAGAAACATTAAACACATTTGCTGACTTCAGGATCCCACAAGAAACAGTGAATAAGACATGATGCTATCTGAAGTAGACGGGTGGCTCAGGGCTTAATACAACAGCATGGCAAACTCACCGGGAAGCGGACGAACAGCTCGGTGAACATGCTGCCTGTAAGGGCGCTCTTCCTGTGAGTCATGAAGGAGCGCAGTGCCCCCTCGTAGATGGAGGTCACCCTATCCACGTCAACGCTGCCCATGGCCTCAGCCTGAAGTACAAAGTGCCAGCGTCATGGCCCTGGCCTAGCCTTCACGGAGCACCTGCCTACCCCCCTCATCACTGGATGCCAGACCTAACTCAGCTTAAAGCAGTGTTTCCCAACCTGGTCCTCGGGGACCCACAGATGGTCCATGATTTTGCTCCCTCCCAGCTCTCTGCCAGACAGTCCACATTTTGCTCCCTACCAGGAGCTTGGAGGGAGCGAAAACAAGGCCTGCCTGTGGGTCCCTTAGGACCAGATTGGCAAGCACTTGGTTAAAGGACATCTGGAGATGTTGCTGTTGAGCCACCCACCTCATGTGCGGGCGTAGTCGGAGACTCCTTCTCGACACCCATGGCTGCTGGGGGAGGCCCTCTGAGCACCTTCACCAGGTATAGAGACGCACTGACAGAATAACAAACGACAAACGTTCACAGCTCTGGCAAACTGCCGGGGCAAAAATGAATGACAAGGATAATCTAAAGGTTATGAATATTAAATGCAGCTTGTTGGCTGACCTGAAGTAGTAAAGGGACAGGGAGGAGTCGGAGAGTTTCTGTGCCCTGCTCAGCACCCTCTCCAACATGGCATGGAGCTCGTCCTTCCTGTCTGAAATGTTCTTGCAGTATCGCTTCCCTTTGCAGAGCTGATTCCTGTAATTACAGGCAATTCCCAAAAGAATTACACCACCAGACTTGCCAAAAGTCACACTTCCAATACGCGCTTGCGAACAGGATTGAATCTTTTAACCATAAAGATTTGCATCAATTTCCTTCCAGGGCCAGACCTGAATGTGTCTGCGGTCTTGCGGAGGAACTCCTCCTCCTGCTGGCTGGTCTCTGAGCTCATGGCGTTCTCAAGGACGTTCAACAGCGGCTCAATGATGCCCAGCACTAGTGGGCTGTCTGCCTGCTTGGTCAAGAAGATCTCCACGAGGTCCAGCACCTACAGACAGTGAGGACAGGGGCAAAAAAAAAATACTTGTACTCTGACTAAAGTTAACAAATGCCTAATGTTCAGGTTTCCATTTTGTTCTGTTGGCCCCAAGGTGGTGTCCGGCCAGAATGATCACTTAAAACAAGTGGTTGAATCAAACACAGAGGGGCAGCCTTCATATCTGGGACTAAAGTGAGAACTGACTACACACAGTACCTTGATCTTAAAGTCCCTCACGAGTGTCTTCTCCTTGCGAAGTTTCTCCTTCTCGTCTTTCTTTGCTTGGATCTTCTTCTTCTGCTCGGAGAAGAGTGCAGCGATGTTCCCATCTAGCTTCATCATGGCCTCATCATCCAGGTCTTCTTCCTCACTTTCAACCTCTTCGTTGGGCTGTGGAACATTAGCATCTTTTTGAAGCTTTTGTTTTTTTATAATGAACCTGTCATTTCCTTGTGAGTTCCCCACCCCCAAAATGTACATACCAGGGCATGCTGACCCTGAAGAACCTTCATGAGCTCAGTGCGAAAATTCTGGTCGACTTCTGGCTCCTCATTATCCTCATCATCATCGTCATCATCGTCGTCGTCATCATCATTATCACTCCCCTTGTCAGACTCTTCAGAGTCCTTGTCAGATGAGTCTTGTTCCTCACTCTGGAGATACCACAGAACATCCTTAAATGAACTGGTCACAGTAACACAATCATTCAAGATGACAATCCACCAGAGGTGGAGATTTCAGGTCCAGTGAGTACAAATCCAGACCGAGATTTTATTTCAACCAACAACTTGAGTACTCTGTGACTATGACTCTTCATAAGCTACTGGTTGGCTGAAACAAAATCTTGGTCTGGATTTGTACTCTCTGGACCTGAAATCACTACCTCAGTAATCCACCCATATTTCACTGAAAAACAGACAAGTAATACAATGCTAGGATTAGAGGAAATAACCACTTGCCTCTTTGTCCAAATCCTCATCCGGCATGTTCTTCTCTTTTTCATCAGTTATGACTAGAGCACCATCCTCATCATCCCTATTTGGATCCAGAACCTGAATACAAGCAAAAAAATTGTAGTAACCACTAAACCAAATCCGATAATGTTCACCGGGGGCAGACAGACAACAATCAGCAGCCCTGGAATTCGCTTTCAAGTGGAACCAATTTCATATTTTGCCATCAACTGGGGTGGGTCCCCACTGGAATATAACGGCCAATCTCGATCATCTGGTTCTGAAGTTCCGTGATCAACCTAGAAACACGGCGAGACGAACCAGCTGATCGCAGTCGGCAGGTTTGGCAGCCCTGAGGTATAGGCTCTCACTACTCTGGCCCACCGGGAAAATTCCCGAACTTCCCAATGGCCAGTCTGAGCCTCACGTACACCGACTAACGCGAGCCGTATCAAGAGCTGAAAACTGCTCAAGGCAAAATCAAACCTACATTTGCAGGTCAACCAAGGAATTTATTGATTACGGTCGATACAGAGAGACAGAACTGTCATCATCTTCCACCACTTACTTCCAAGATGGCGTTCAGGGCTCCCTGGGTGACGTAGGGGCAGATCCTCCCAAACACGGAGTTGCACACTTGCCTAATGAGACGGCTGGGCTGAGACAGGAGAGACAGCAGGATCTCGACCATCACCTCCACCCAGTGAGGCTGGTCCTGCTCCGCAGCGCCCCCTAAAACAAATGGCAGAGAAGGGAAATACGATTTTACATATATTATTTTCCCCAAATGTATGACTATGACTGTCCCCTTTGATGGACTGACACTCATCCAGGATGTACCCCAGCCTTGTGGCCTGTGCTACCTGGAATAGATTGCAGCCCCACCACTATCACCCAGAGCAAGACAAGCCGTTAGAAGATGGATGGATGGATGGACGGACATATATTATATGCATATATGCTGTAAATACACACTGCAGAAATGGAAGCTGGTAACTTAATATGCATGAACTCAGAGACCTTTGCTGCTGACGACAGTCTTTTTCTTCTCTGCCGTCTTCTCTTGAGCTTTCTCCACACAATTCTGCAGATCCCGCAACAAGTCCACACTCTCCTCTGGCGCCTAAGAAGATAACAAGCTCAGCTGAAAATATACGAGACGTCCTTCTTTGCCCGAATCAAACACATGACATTTCACTCAGTAGACATTTCAGTGATATATGGGGGACAACAGAAATCTGATTTGGTCTAAAAAAAACCCCCCAAGCGACCAAACTGTGGATTTATACGATGGGGGGGAGGCATTGGACAGGTCTTGATGCACTGAAGAAAAACCACAAGAGTTTGCGCGGTTCAGACCTTGAAGAGGTACATCCCCATGAGCAGGAATAGCTGCTGGAAAGCTGCGGCCTCGCCCGCCTGGAGCTTCTTGGCTTTCGCTTTCTTCCGGAGGGTTTCCACGGACTCCAGCATGCTACCGAACCAGACACCAATGAATGACATCACAAAGCAAAGCATTCTGGGAGATTTCAAGGTACTCACATTAAGCTCCAGAGTACTCAGTATTTTTACATGCCCCATTTACAATTGCTTCTCATGGTGTCAGAGGTTGGAAAGGTGAGGGAATCAAATTTAAAAATTTGGTTGTATATATTATATTGTATGTCCCTATTGCATTGCAAGTTTGTCCCAGCTCCAAACCATGTTCAATCCATTTTTCTTTCATAATTGCAGACACCCTCATCCAGAGCCATAGTGACTCAATGCAATCCATCCATCCCACTTGTCAGGTCATGGTGAACCAGGACCCTACCAAGGCATGTACATTCCTAAGGTAGTGTTAGCCAAATTAAGCTTCATGAACCATTGTCTGTATTTTTACCCCACTAGATGGCGCTCTTGGTTTGCTCTCGGGCATCTAGTGGTGTCAGAAAATATAGAAATTGGTTCATGAACCTGCGTTTGGCCATCTTTACCTTAAGGCAGAGGGAATCCTGGACAGGATTCCAGGCCATCACCGGCCAAGCACAACGGCCCCAATTTAGAGACCCATAATAACACTACTTTACGTTTTTGGACCCAAGAAGAAAACCTACACAAAAACCATTGAGAGAACATCCACACTCTAAAATGTAACACTGACAGTATTCACGTTAGCTATGCACGACCCTCAGTAAATAGCGCTGGAGCCTGTATCACAAAGTGAGATTTGTTTGTTAGCCTGATAACTTGTCGCTCACTTACATTTAGCCCAGACTACCTTAAATCCAACAAGTTATCCAGCTAAGCAAGTAATCCTGCTTCATGATGCGGGCTGTTGCTGTTACACTGAAGCATTAAAGTGCTGCATTACCTGCTCCAGGCCTCCTTCTGCTGGGATGTTAGCGGCCTGATGCCGTAGGCGTACTTCGTCTGGCTCAGGAGTACATCGGCGTATTGGACCAAGCAGTAGATCCACAGGGTGCCGTCAGCTGTGACACCCCAGGCACGCTTCTCGTTGAGAGCAGCCAACTCTGGTGACTCCCCCAGCGAGGGCATGTGGTTGAGGTACTGCAGGAGCCTACCGAGGCCAGGCCAGGGGACACAGAGAAGAGATTTACTGATCACCATTGCAGGTAAGAATCGTTTTTAGATTCCATCATAATCTTGCCCATCTGTCTGATCTTCTCCTGTCCTACCAGCCCCCTTATGCTCTTAGATCTTCATTGTTTGGGCTCCTCCTGTTCCTCCTTCCAAACGCCACAGCTCTGGTGTCTGTGGCGGCTCCACATCTCTGGAATTCCCTTCCCATTGACATCCATAATTCACCCTCTCTGCCACTCTTCAAACCTCATCTTAAATCCTTTTTGTTCCCCCAAGCTTTCAAGTTAACTTTGCGTGTTTTTTAATTCTTACCGTGTTTGGATTTTGAAAAGCAAAGTATACAGTACATCTAATATTATTGTTGCTGTTATCATAATCAATGATGAAATAGCATTTCAGGAAATCTATACAAAATTAGAACTGCAGGTTTCTTACAAAAAAAACCCTTCCTGTAAAATGCTACAGTATAATTAAAGATGATCTCACCCAAAAAAGGAGTTGACTACAATCTCGCGGGTCTTCTCATCCAGGGGCTCTGAGATGGTTGCCTCTGTTTCAGGAATGTCGGGGGTGGACTTTTTGGCAGCGAAGAATGCATGGAAGAAGACGAACCTGTGGAGAAACAATCAGGCCTCAGTCTGAAACAACTATGAAAGCAAAAAACTCATTCTGAAGACAATATAAATATCGGAAAAATCAACCCAGGAACTCCTGGTAGGAGCTGGTTCCTAACCTGGCAACGTCCATAACCAGGTCCTCCTCTTTCTTCACCTGGACGTTCTCTACGATGGACGTAAGCCGTGGAACAATCCACTTGCGCAGGCGGAACACACTCTGCTTGCTCCTGGGGGGCAGTATATCACTGTCAATGCAGCCCCTCAAACGTCATAAACGTCACAAAAAGCTGCAGTCACACATCAGGCGTCTCAAACGCAGCCGCCAGAAGCTCAGCTGCATTCTCACTCATTTCAGTTTCTTCTGGAAGTTCCACAATTCTCACATTTCAGATGCTAGGGTTCACTTCAGAGTTATTTGGTATCATGTTGAAGAGGAATTACACAGTTCAGAGCACAAAGGAAAATTATGTGTCCGAAGAGAAATACTTTATATATAAAGCATATTACTACTATAAATTAACTGGAATGCAGTGGTTAGCACTGTTTCCTCACACCTCTAGGACCATGGTTTGAGTTTCTGCCATTGTTCCATGAGTGTGGAGTTTGCATGTTCTCCCAGTGTCATTGTGGGGTTTCTTACAGGTACTCCAGTTTCCAAAAACATGCGGAGGTCAATTGGAGTTACAAAATAGCCTAGAGGTTTGCAAGTGCGAGTGCGCGAAGTGCATGGTGTGCGAAGTGCATTGTGTGCGAAGTGCATTGCGTGCGAACTGCATGGTGTGCGAACTGCATGGTGTGCGAACTGCATGGTGGGCTAAGTTCATTGTGTGTGAAATGCATGGTGTGTGAAGTGCATGGTGTGTGAAGTGCATGGTGTGCAAACTGCATGGTGGGCTAAGTGCATGGTGGGCTAAGTGCATTGTGTGTGAAATGCATGGTGTGTGAAGTGCATGGTGTGTGAAGTGCATGGTGTGTGAAGTGCATGGTGTGTGAAATGCATGGTGTGTGAAATGCATGGTGTGTGAAATGCATGGTGTGTGAAATGCATGGTGTGTGAAATGCATGGTGTGTGAAGTGCATGGTGTGTGAAGTGCATGGTGTGTGAAATGCATGGTGTGTGAAGTGCATGGTGTGTGAAGTGCATGGTGTGTGAGTGTGCCCTGCGATGGGTTGGTGCCCCATCCTGGGACGTTCCCTACTATGTGCCCATAGCCTCCAGGAAAGGCTCCGGAATGACTGGGAGAAAAACAGTCAACACACACAGAGATGTCACTAGGGACGCTTCCGAGGAATGTGAAGGCCATAACGGGGTGAGACACTCACTGGTCTTCTGCCTCCTGTGTCTTCTGCTGCCGACGGGTGGAGAAGTCCAGGCAGGCCTCCAGCTTCGGCCGGCAGAACATCTCCTTCAGCCAGTCCACGTAGCTCTGCAGAGCGGCCGGCTGCAGGTGCTGCACGACCCTCCAGGCGCTGGGCACTACCGGGTAGCCCTGGTTGGTGAGTGTGGAGAAGGCCACCACCACCGCCAGCTGCTTCTCAGAGTCCCGGCACTCTTTCAGGAAATCCTCCACGTAGGCCTCCATCTCTGGTGCAAACTTGAAGTGGCCTGGAAGCTAAGGGAGGAAAGGTTTACAGGGGGCATAAACATGCCAGGAACCAGGACAACAATCACGATTCACAACGTGAATGGAACTGAAGAGGTGCAAAACACCCTGGAATGTATGACATCACAATAAACCCAATAAATAGTAGTAAACATTTTCTTCTACCAATATAAAAAACAAAATCATACACTAAAGTATATTTGTATATGTGTGTCTTTTGCAGTACCAGTCAAAAGTCTAGACACGTTTGCTTTTAATGCATTTCTCTCTATTTTAGCTATGTTATTTACCTTATAGTAAAAGGCTTCAAGGCAGTGAAGTAACACACATCAAATATTTAAGCGACCAAGAGAAACTATTTTCTCAGATATTAGAGTCTTCAAAACAGCCCCCTTAAGCTTTGACAGTACCACAGACTCTTGGCATTCTCTGAGCCAGCTTCCAGATGTAGCCACCTGGAATGCTTCTCCAACAGTCCTGAAGGGGTTTCCAGAAGGTCTGGGCACCAGTGGGCTACCTTACTCTTACTCTCTGATCCAACTCATCCCAAACCAGCACTATAGGGTTTAGGTTAGGGGGGGATTGTGGGGGCCAGGTCATCTGTCACAGCACTCCATCTCTTTCCTTGTTCACAAGATAATACAGCACTGTCATGACCTCGATGTGAGCTTAGGCTCGTTATCTTGTTGAACAACCAAATGATTTTCTGTAGCTGTGCCCAAACTTTTGACTGGTACTGTACTTTTTTTTCTTCACATTAATATTTTTATCTATTCATTTTTATTTATGGCAGATATTATATGTGCTTATCTACTGCACTACTGTTTTCAGTTTTCGCTTTTATTTTTTGCAGCATCTGGACTGAACAAAATACAAATTTCATAATGTACTGTCCCATATGACAATAAACTGCTTGAATCTTTTTTTTTTTAAATATTGGAAGCATCACATCTGTGAGGTCATACATGGATACTGGACATGTCAGCCTTAGAATGAGACCCATTCACAATGTCAATAAAACACATCACATAACTACAGTCATCAGAAGAAAAATCACACAATATTAACATTCACGAATCCTTAGCAATTTCCGAGGGGGCCTCACCTGGGCAGTAACGACATGCTCCCCGTAATGTCGCATCACCTCTCCAGACAGCACCTGGCGTAGCTGTGGGAGGGACAGCCAAGGCAGCACCGCCCCCAGCAGCCGGTAGCACAGGAAGCTAGAAAACCAGAATAGCGATGGCTAATTGCTATTAGCGATGGCTTCAGAATAGCGATGGCTTCATGAACCGTTTGCTTGCTTTAGCTACACTAAGCATTTCTGATGACAAGGCCACCGCTACCTTCCACCTGGCAAGTCAGTCGCATACCTGTTGAATCCTGATTGGTCAGTCAGCAGCCCGTTGACCACCACGTCTTTCCAGAAGAGGTCAAAAGTGTTCTCCCGCAGAGACACCTGGAGCACATCCAGGGCCACTGGGGGGAGCTGCTTCTCTTTCTTCATAGAGCGGCCAGCCACCTTCAAAACTTCGACCAGCCTTTGGAGAAGGACGGAAAGAAAAAAACAAACAGTGTAAGACAGAGAACAAATCATCACTAAATGAAAAACAGCTCAGTCTACAGAACATGAACTTTGGGATTGAGCTTTCACAGACAGCTGTCCCTCCAGGATAGCGAGACCTTACTTTGGGACGGTGTCCTTCGTAATTATGGTCGATGTTCCTAGCAACTTCTTAAGCTTCTTGGGCTTGAACAAACCGGGAAACCTCTGCATGGCCACCAGGAGGAGCTGTAGCTGCTCTGGGGTGCTATACGCTGAAGAAAGGTCACTCTGCAGAGCGCCCAGGAGTACCTCATCAAACACCTCCTCGCTGGTCTGCAGAAAAGACATTTAAAGGTCTTTTAAAGAAATAATTATCAAAAAATCATTATCTTAACTATGAATTACCCAACCAGGCCATATGCTGTCTGGGATTGGCTGCAGAGCACACCTGTAACCTAGTACTGGATATATATTTGAGAAATGGATGGAGAGATTAATCAACTGATCGATGGATAATCCGACTACGCAGAAGCCAGTTAATTTATTGAAGCAAAATTAAATGGTCTGGTTTATCTCTAAGTATATATTCTTATAGGACAGGGTAGATTAACCTTTCCCAATCAAGACATAGACTTTGGATAACACAACAGTGCTTTCCTTTGAGTCTGAAATACTCTGAACACTTATACTGACTCTACAACAAGTGGCTTACCTCAGATAAGATGTCAACCATGGTTTTCTTGGGCAAATCCTTCAGGTGTTCTCTGTATCGGGCCAGTTGCTGAAGCAACTGGATACACTGGAGCAGGATCTGGGGCTCCTTGGAGAATCAGAATCAGGTTTATCGGTCCAGTATGATCACACACAGGGAATTTGTCGCTGGTCGTCAATGGCTCTCTTACACAATTAAGACAAGACAATCAAGACTACGATAAATACAACGTGCATGTGAGCGTGATGAATGAACATCAAACAACACGGATAAAAGAAAAAGCAGGCAGGAGAAAACCTGCATGGCCCTCACCTTCGGAAGGCGGGCTGACTGGGACAAGGCCAGCACGCCGAAGAAGGAGCCAAACACAGCATTTCTGAACAGCTTCTGTAGGGTGAAACATGAAGTTGCAGTTCAGAAACACCACACACCCGCAAAACGAAATACAAGAGACTGACAGCATAAGGGCAGTATTACTCAAATTAAGCATAGATCACAATTTTGGCACCGGCAAACGAGAACTCGCATCTATCCGATCACTCACCGTCTTTGTTTTCTGTAGGTCATGTGTTTCTTTGACTTGGTCCAGTACGGACTGCAGTGGGACATCCTCAAACACGGACAGGACCTACAGGCAGACACGATGGGGGAAAAAAACACGAGTTGAGCATTTGGCCTAAACAGTTAATGAAGCACACTTGTGACTGAAAGGTTGCTGGTTTGAATCCCTGAACAGCAAGGTACCACTGAAGTACCCTGTGCTGTGGTGTGACAATTAATCACTTTCACTTTGATATGTTTAGCAGTTGTAGGTCATACACTCTGATACATAAGTCTGGTCTCATGGGGTGGTCGTTACACTTATTTTGCGAATGCAAATTTCCTTATCTACAGTACAGCATAGAATTTTTCAATGGGACATGTCACATTTTACACCAAACATAACTTCCTGTAAAGTGTACCATTATATAAACTTCCTGACTGTGGGCAGTGGTGCTATATCACAATGTCACATATGAGTTAAATGCAGAGGACAGATTTCATTGTTGTGGTGTGTCAGCAATGACCACTGATCTAAAAATTACTAGGTTTTGCCGAACGTTTGGATTCGCTTACTGCTTAAGTACATAACTGCAAAAGCATTGTTACTGCACCTTACCTGGGCCAGAGCCAAACTGAAACCAGGCCGGGCTATTTCTTGCGTGTGTGCCAAGCCTCCCACCAGCCTTTTCAATGTATATTTCAGCTCATCTGGCTGCTCAAACACACATAAACACACGTGACATAAAAAGCATCATTAACGCGCAGCAAATCACAACATTCTGAATGCAACAACAGTTATTCATAATGAAATAATTATAAATACACACTGATCACATCACAGTTTACAGACATGCGTAAATGTTAATCTGGGAGACTGACTGAGTCACGTGCCGAAATAAACAGGACCTTCATTATAGAGAGAAATTATGGTCATTATGTCACCAAAAGGCTCATTTTTAAGACTGTCTTTATTTCAAATACCGTATTGAAAGTGGCATCGACACAAAACAATTTACTAGGTAAATATGGGAGAAAATTTATTGCCCATCTAGAGCTCAGATTTTGTGCTCGTACCTTTTTGCTTTTTTTCAAATGCTGAACTAAGCAGTCGATCGCTTTCAGCCGCACTTCTTGATCCGGCTTTGCGATGTCCCAGAAGAAGTCGAGAAACTCCCTGTTTTGCTTCAGGATCCCCTTAGCATCGCTAACTTTGGGTTTAGGTTGCTGGTTTTCTATCTCGCCCATGTCTGATCTCGTCGCAGTGGCCATGCCATGTGAGAGTACACCCATGCTGGAGGGGCAAAACCCGCCCTTTCCGGGACAAGCGGAAGTATTCTCTCATCCCGCCCCCTTTGGATGGATGCTAGTCCTGGATGGATAGTCCTTTGAACAGACATGAAAGTTTTAGCTCGTATATATATATGGTTCATGCGTTTTAAGGTAGAAGAATAAATGCTACACAAGTAATTATTTAAGCTAATACTCTCATGTGTTTTTTTTTTTTTGCTATTTAATGTATACGTGTTGAATGCAGATTACTTCATTTTTTATTTAGTTTACTTGTTGTATTGTATTACTTCGTATAGCTTAAAGCGTTCACATTGTCCTTAATGTTGTTGTGGGTATTACAATCTTTCACTTTAGATGTGACAAAGTTTTTTTCTGGCCCACGTGAAATGTGCCACTATATACATTTGTGTGTGTCCCGGGTGATTTTCTTTCTATCATTTATTTAATTATCTCTCGATAAATATTTATAATTACGTTATATATATTCTAATTAGTTATATTCCAGTTACTGTGACATAAGGTTGCTTACTGCTTACAGGCAAACGTTATAGTAGACGCCAGTACCAGACAGATCACCACCACTAGTAAATTCAGACACAACTAGCTGACAGAGACATTTTTGATTTTGGATATTTTTGTAATGGTACGTTGCATGCATGTTATGGCGTGTGCAATTGTTCATATCTATAAAACAACGTACAGCACTAAATATTAAAAATCTAAATATTAAAAATATACAGCATTTGATTAAATGATTTTAAATTCTTGCCCGGTTTTTCTTCAGTTCTTTTCAGGCAGTATGAGGACAGCCATAATTTACTCTATTTGGGTCCTTAAGCGGGCTCCTCTCCTGCACACACTGCAATGGCGGATTACGATACCTACGATGACCGAGATCGGGCTTACGGCAGTTTTGGAGGAGGGAGAGGGTAAGAAAGCAGCACGTCGACTTTTGCAGATTCCCGATGCAATGGCATATAAGTGCACCGGTATTAGCCGTCAAGGTGCCCGGCTGCTGGCGATATGAATGTATATGGTAGGCCCGTGCATTGTGATGGGAAACCCGGCGATAAGGTGTAGGATGGCCGTGTGCGATGAATGGGATGCATGTATTTGGGAGTGTGGGAATCGCAGACAGTGTCCTGCGTTAGCGGCATCCTTTGCTGTTGGATTTTGAAGGCTTTTTCTGTCGGGTCGCTGCATGAACACGCCGAAGCAGCCGCGCAGCTAAAGTACCAAATGTCGTATTTGTCAGCAGGACGTTTGGCGCGGAAGGTGAACCGATTCACAGGTGAATATGAGGCACATCTGTCCGAAAGAGGCGGATTAACGCTGAGCTCAGCCTGCTTATACCGTTTCGGAAGACCGGCTTGATCTGGCCTTTTTGCTTTTTGGTGACATACTAGTTTCCAGTCTGTTTGGGTGGTTCGGCCCTGTCATTTCAACACCGAAATTAAATATATTTCTTTCTGGCATAATGTTGTGTACTGTGAGGCATGTGTTAATGTTAGTATTACAGACGTCTTCATCTTGTCAGCTTTCGACTGTCTTTATGTAAAACTGCTGTCCGAAGGTATAACTGTGTAGCGTGTGCGACTTTAATCATAATAGGGCTGCGCTACAAGACATCGGCCCGGGGCATTTTGGCACCGTCTTACGTGTTTAATAGCTTTAGTGGCGTGTTTTCTGGGTGTTTGGTTTTGTGTTTTCATGGACTAAAAGTGACATTCCGTTTAGTCATACTTGACCCGTAAAACAAGAGCTGCTCGCTTAAAACGCGTCCTGAATGTGCGTAGAAATATTTATGAATAAGTGTGGGTGTGTGAAATGTATGTGTTTAGAGTTCATTTAAATGTTTGCTGAACAAAAGTGGCCATTGGCAAACAACAAGTAACTCAATCTGATTTGCAGATCTGGCATAGTCAACCTCGATTGTTCGATGTATTTACTGTATTATAATTCTGAAAAGCGGCTGCTGACCCAACCACGTATATAAAGCTAAAACTGTAATGCATGTTGCTTTTGAAATGCTAGTGCAAGTGAAGTAGTGCACTTGTCTGGTTTTTAATAATGCAAGTTCCCATTCTGTGTTTGCAGCAAGACTGATAAAGGATGCCACTTTCAGTCTGGATGTTTATGTCTAAACTTATGTATTTACAAAGCAGTCATGTAATATTTCATTACTACTCCGGTCTGACAATACTTAAGCTGAAATGTTTCAATAAATAACAAGTGCTGTGGCTTCTAGCAACCAACCACCACCACCACCACCACCACCACCTTTTTAAATAAACATTTTTGGATAAACTTCACACACCAAACCCAAAGATGTTTTGAACATGAAGAATGCATGATATGTTGTGATGTGTTGTCTATTTAAAGAAAGACAGAAAAACTTAAGCTGGGGTTAACAAGATTTTTGGGGGAACTTTCATATAAATATATTTTTCCAGCCATTATCCCCTCCCAGAAAGCACTTGGAGCAAAAGAAATGAGTCTAGATGGGAATGGAAAATGACACAGACTTCAAAAATAAAAATAGATCGATCTTGCTTAGAGATGCTTCTGGTGGTTTGTGAAGCAGGGCTCCGCTGCAGACTTGGACCGAAGAGAATGGTGCTTTTGTTTTAATTAAACGAAAGCCTGGCATCCCAGCTGTCCACTGCTGGGTCCCGTTAAAACTGCAGGGAGGTTACACCAAGGTAACGAGCCGGCTTCCTGCACGGGGGCTCACTGCCGCATCCTTCAGCTCTCGGCACGGAGGGAAGCTGCCGACATGTTGGGCAGAAAAGGTCCTGGGCCTCTGATTATCGCGCTGTGGCTTCTTAACTGGTTTTGATATGCTGGACCGCTCTGCCTTTTCTGCACTAATTATCTGAACTGTCCCTCATCAGATATGCTGGTAAGTATTTGTTACTGTTCTACAAGACCTGTCACTCCACGTTTATTTTAAGAACACATCCTAACCTGTACATGGCAAAACTGACTGATGCAGTTAGTGGGGGGGAGGAGGGGATCACTCCAGTGAGTTTTCTTTGTAGGCCAAAGCTTATGTGTCTGAACACTGCACACTGCTTAACTTGCATCTACGGCAGTTAGTGGTTCTCTCAGCTTTATTTTTACTCCTGATATTTTTGGTGTCTGAAAATCTCTGATTTACAGAAGGCTTTCCTTCCTTTTTTTTTTTGCTTGGCCGTACATTGTGAGAAACTCGTATCCTCCTGCTGTTTGCGCTTTTGTCAACCAGTGACCGTTTTTAAAAGTCTGTCTGATCTGTACTGATGCTTCTTGTAGACGAAACGAAAATATTGGTTGCACTGTGCTATTCTGTTAAGTTTATGTCAGAGGAGAGAAACAAAGGGAAAAGAGAGAGAAAAAAGCTTAAAAGCCATTGGTTTGCTGCATTTTGTACTCAATACAACAGAAATAATCTACTGAATAGAATATTTCGGTGGGAAAATGCGTCATGAAACGCTCAATGCACAACAGCAGCAGGGTCAGATGTACAGACAAAATAGTGGTTGACCACATGCCTTATGTTTCCCTTTGTAAATGTGTTATTTGGTGTTTATTTTTTAAAGCAGCATTTAACTTGATGTTTTTTTTTCCTCTTAAGCACTACTTCACTTTGTAACTGTTTCCTTTTAAAATAAAGCATCAATGTTATTGTTGTAAATTGCATTTCCCAAGCATTTGTCAGTAATACAGTCTTGCAGCATCTGTCGATCTAAGTGGTGGGCCTACATTTTGTGCTGGTGCCTCTAAAATTTCCAGTAAGGAGCACCAGTGCTACAAGTTGAAAAAGCTGGTCAGGAGCCCTGAATTGGCCGTACAGCATGTAGCCTGACTGCCGCACAGGGAGAGCGCAGACTGCATCAGAGAACATGCAAACTTGTAAACTGGATTTGAACCATTAACTCTGGAGGTGTGAGACAACAGTGTTACCCATTGAGCCACTTAGTACATTTCAAGTATTTAAGGTCCAGTTTATTTGCAGCAGAGTAATTGTGAGAATGTGGCTCATCAGTGGCGTGCACAGACATTTTGGGGGGCAAGTGCTCCAGGGGGAAAAAAGGGCACTTTTTGCATATGTGGAAAACCTTTTCTTTTTATAATAAAAAAAACGCACAGGTTAAATGCAATTTGACTTTTATTTCAAAACATTCTCTAAAAATCAAAAATCACACCACAAAAAGATAAAATCTGTATCCAGTAGTTGACGTTAGTTATGGAAAGGCTAATCCACAAAAACGGAGAAACGTCCATAATTCTATTATTCATAATCATGTCAAGGTTTTAGGTTTTTCTGCAGTTCCATCTCTAAAAAGTGTGATGTCTTCCCGTCACTGAC